TTCTACATTCCATTAAATAGGTTAAAAAAAAGGATAGTATAAGTGTTGCAGAATGTAGTGAAACCTTTTAGGGTAACACGTGATACATGTAGATATTTCTGTGTTTACATCAGGCGTGTTGTCTTGCAGCGGCTCTGCAGCAACTTTTCACATTTCTTCTTTTTTTCCTTCCTGTACTTATTTGTCATCTATTTATATATACCGTATTCAAGCAGAGGTGCTAAGTTCACCACCCTGCTGTATCTCACATTGCTGCCTTGTAGATACAGCAGAGTCTTAGGCAGAGAATGTACCTGACTAAGTGATGAACATTTGGGCTGATTCAGCAAGGGAATGTAAAGAGGAATGATGTATTAAGAGCAACATCTCACGCTAGCCAATCAGAAATCATCTTTCAGTGAACTGAATTTTGAAGGGTTACTACTGGTTATGTGTTATAATGCTGTTTCCACTGGTCTTATTGCTGGAACAGCCAGGTTTGATGCTGAGATCCTGACACAGGTGGTATTTGGAGCAGGACTGCATGGATTGGTCTGATGAGATAACTATATATCACTGGGATAATTTGTTGTTAGTGGTCATTTAAGGTTGACAGGCTTAGGAGCCAATTTAAAAATCTCCCCTTCAGCCTTAAGATGGGTGAACGCCGTTTACACAGCATTCTTGCCACTAGATGGAGCCGAGAAGCATAGGAATAGCTCAGGGCTCCATCTAGTGGCAGGGATGTTGTGTAAATTAGACATGTGCGATTCATACATACGCATAAGAATTTCACAATGACAGAAATAATGAATGCAAATGAATACAAATTTCTGATATGGAAAATTTCGTGTGCATCCGAATTTCTTTCCCGAATTAAGTCTTATTGTGTTTAAGCACCAACTTAAAAAAAAAAATACATTTTGTTAGTTCTACAAATTTTGTTACGAATGAACTTTCGTTGTCGCAAAATGACATTAGATAAAAGAAAAAAATTTTTTTTTTTTTACAGTCCGCAGAACAAAACAAAAAAAAGTGTAAGGTTTCCTCCCTAATTGATACCAGACCCTTCAGGTAATACAGTGCAGACAATACATTTACAATTATACTAACATGAATGTATTAAATGATCTGTATGTAGCCCTGTACTATGGATCATTTAACCCATTCATGTTAGCAGAGGATCATTGTAAATGTATTGTTGCAGGCACTCTATATGTACATGTACTATATACTACATATAGAATGCACTGAACAATAGATTTACAATTATCCTCTGCTAATATGAATGGGTTAAATGATCCGTAGTACATGATATGTAGCCCTGTACCCCCTTTTCCACTAACAGAGCTAGGTTATTGTTTTTCTTTTAAATAAATATTCATGTAATTTTATTGGTATCTATCTACCAGTAGCTGCCTCATTTCCCACCCTCGGCTCATATTCGGGTCAATACTTTTTCCCAGTTTTTTGTGGTAAAATTAGGTACCTCGGCTTATATTCGGGACGGCTTATACTCGAGTATATACGGTAAATGTAAATAAAGAAACCACACATTTAAAAAAAAAGTATTTTAATTGAAAAAAAACCCAGAGTCAGTTTTTGACAATTCTTTTATTTAAAAAAATAAAAATAGATCCATTGATGTAATAAAGCTTTAATCACGCTGAACGACGCCCACCGACATAAAAAAAAGTCCCGCTGCATACCGACCCGTCCGAACCCGGCGAAAACTCGCCGCAAAATGACAGCTCCGGCCTGAATGTAAACAAATGTGCGGGGCGAGCTGTGACGTCTCGGAGCTTGTTCCGCCCATTTGTTGACATTCTAAGCTGTCCTTCATATAACAAAGGAAAAGCATTCGGAAGCCTGGTATGACTCTCTCCTGACTGTCTCTCTTTACTCTCTCCCCTGACTGTCTCTCCTTGCTCTCTCTCCCCTGCTGTCTATCCTGGCTCTCTCTCTCTTCACTCTCTATCCTTGCTGTCTCTCCTCTCTCATCCTCCTGGTTGTCTCTCCTGGCTCTCTCTCCTCTCTTCCCTGGGTGTCTCTCCTCACTCTCACCCCTGGCTGTCTCTCCTTGCTCTCTCCTCCTGGCTGTCTCTCCTAGCTCATCCTGCTGGTGGTCTCTCCTTGCTCTCTCTCTCCTGGCTGTCTCTCCTCGCTCGCTCTCCTTGCTGTCTCTCTTCGCTCTCTCTCCTGGCTGTCTCTCCTCGCTCTCTCCCCTGGCTGTCTCTCCTCACTCTCTCCCCTGGCTGTCTCTCCTCTCACTTCTCCCTGGCTGTCTCTCCTCACTCTCTCCCCATGGCTGTCTCTCCTCACCCTCTCCCCATGGCTGTCTCTCCTCACCCTCTCTCCAGGTTGTCAATGCTCGATCTCTTTCCCGGCTGTCTCTCCTTGCTCTCTCCTGGCTGCCTCTCCTCGCTCTCTGTCCTGGCTGTCCTTCCCGGCAATCCTCCCTTGCTATCTCTCCTCGCTTACCTCCCTGGCTGTCTCTCCTCACACTCGCTGCTGGTTGTCGATGCTCACTCTCTTTTCTGGCTGTCTCTTCTTGCTCTCTCCTGGTTGCCTCTCCTCGCTCTCTTTCCTGGCTGTCTATCCTTGCTCTCTTTCCTGGTTCTCCTTCCCTGCAATCCTCCCTGGCTATCTCTCCTCGCTCACCTCCCTGGCTGTCTCTCCTCACACTCTCTGCTGGTTGTCAATGCTCGCTCTCTTTCCTGGCTGTCTCTCCTTGCTCTCTCTCCTGGTTCTCCTTCCCTGCAATCCTCCCTGGCTATCTCTCCTCGCTCTCCTCCCTGGCTGTCTCTCCTCGCTCTCTCTCCTGGCTGTCTCTCCTCACTCTCTCCTGTATAATCTCCCAAAAAAATTGTTGCACGGTGCTAGAATGTTTGGGTTTCGCTTGAAGAAAAGGTGGCAATACTACCTGGGTCAGAGGGGTGGGATAGTGTGGATTTCGTATTCTAAAGTGAACCTGTACTTTCTGGTCGGTTTATGGTGCAATAATAACTCCAAATATATGCTCATAATAACTGACTATACTTTGTAAGCACATGACCAAGTGTCACAGGGTTTAGCTGATTCAGTGGTGCAGTGTATTTTAGATGCAATGGAAGTGTGATTAATACATAGTGTGGACACACAGTCACCGACAGACAGCATAAGCTGTGTGATCTCTAGCGGTTGATTAGTGCAGACCTCAGGAAGAGTACATTACACCATTGACCGGCACTCTGAAGCAATAAGGAAAGCATTTGTATTGCTCGGCCTCAGGCTAACATGAACGTATCAATCCATACAGACATAGCCAGCCTTGTTCTACATCATCTCCCCTGAGGAAC